TCTCCATCACGTCTCTATCTCGTCTCCATCACGTCTCTATTTCATCTCCATCACGTCTCTATCTCGTCTCCATCATGTCTCTATCTCGTCTCTGTCACGTCACCATCACATCTCTATTTCGTCTCCATCACGTCTCTATTTCGTCTCCATCACGTCTCTATTTCGTCTCCATTACATCTCCATCACGTCTTTATCTCGTCTCCATCACGTCTCTATTTCGTCTCCATCACGTCTCTATCTCGTCTCCATCATGTCTCTATTTCGTCTCCATCACGTCTCTATTTCATCTCCATTACATCTCCATCACGTCTTTATCTCGTCTCCATCACGTCTCTATTTCGTCTCCATCACGTCTCTATCTCGTCTCCATCACGTCTCTATTTCGTCTCCATCACATCTCCATCACGTCTCTAACTCGTCTCCATCATGTCTCTATTTCGTCTCCATCACGTCTCTATCTCGTCTACATCACGTCTCTATCTCCTCTCCATCACGTCTCTATTTCGTCTCTGTCACGTCTCCATCACATCTCTATTTCGTCTCCATCACGTCTCCATCACGTCTCTATCTCGTCTCCATCACGTCTCTATTTCGTCTCCGTCACGTCTCCATCACATCTCTATTTCGTCTCCATCACGTCTCTCTCGTCTCCATCACGTCTCTATTTCGTCTCCATCACGTCTCCATCACATCTCTATTTCGTCTCCATCACGTCTCTATCTCGTCTCCATCACGTCTCTATTTCGTCTCCATCACGTCTCTATCTCGTCTCCATCACGTCTCTATTTCGTCTCCATCACGTCTCTATTTCATCTCCATCACGTCTCCATCACGTCTCTATCTCGTCTCCATCACGTCTCTATTTCATCTCTGTCACGTCTCCATCACGTCTCCGTCACTTCTCCATCACATCTGTATCTCGTCTCCATCACTTCTCTATTTCTTCTCTGTCACGTCTCTATCTCGTCTCCATCACGTCTCTATTTCTTCTCTGTCACGTCTCTATTTCGTCTCTGTCACGTCTCCATCACGTCTCCATCACGTCTCCGTCACGTCTCCATCACATCTCTATTTCGTCTCCATCACGTCTCTATTTCATCTCCATCACGTCTCCATCACGTCTCTATCTCGTCTCCATCACATCTCTATTTCATCTCTGTCACGTGTCCATCACGTCTGTATCTCGTCTCCATCACATCTGTATCTCGTCTCCATCACATCTGTATCTCGTCTCTGTCACGTCTCTGTCACGTGTTCGTCACTTCTCCATCACTTTTGTATCTCGTCTCCGTCACGTCTCCGTCACATCCCCATCCGTCACATCTCTTTGATGTCTCTGTTGTATCTCCATGTTTGTTCTTCACACAGAATTGACAGACATAAACAAGACAAGATAGTTTTGCTTCATCTAAGTAACGACAAAGTCAATAACAATTGAAATTCATTGTTAATTCTTTTAATTTTCATGTCGATTGACAAATGGTCCTTTTGATAGATGAAAAGATTACCAAAGTTGTTAGGATTTATCATGTGGAGGTCATGACCATCTGAAACTGATTTCATAATAATCCATCCAATATCTGGCCAATAGACATCATCCTCTTTCAAATGTGTCTTTGTTATGAATGGATTTCAAAGAATCTAAAATAGTTCCTAATTGTTCTAATTGTTCTTGTTGTCATTTGGACGAAGTCTGCGAGCCACAAAGAATCTACAGTGAAACTTCCAGGAGAGTAAATTGGATTTTCCTCCTAAAACGATGGGATTAATGGTGAGGAGGTAATTTAGTGCGTCCATACCTCAGAAGCTCAATTACACAAAAGCCCTTGTTTTGTGGGTCAGTTTTTTAATAGCACACTCTAAACAACAATGTGGTCATGTAATCCCAGTGTGCCTGGACTGGTCTTATACCATTAAACGGTTGAAATTATGATTTACATAACCTAAGCTGGCCTGAATGAGCTCAGTCAGAGCGCTGACCTCCTGGTACCTCTTAAGACCTAACGTGGACGAGCCAAGACCTATTTTCAGTTGTAAAAAACAAGACAGTTAATAAGATCTGTGGTCACAAAGAGCTTAAATAAAAGAGGTGGAACTGGAGTCATTTTGAGTTTTCTGTTTAACTCATCAGGGATGTTATTAAGCAGGCCAATCGCTGACTAACTCTGATGTGTTTGGGGGGAGCTTTCTAATCCAATCCTGACGGCGTTGTTGATGCAGTCTGTGACCTTTGAATTCTCCAGGTTGAATCAAGGCAAAGAGGCTTTGCAGGTTGCGTAACTTCTCCGCTGATTTGGTTGTAAACTGTTCAGACACAAGCAAAGGGCAGGACCTGCATGTGTGCACAAACAGACGATCTAATGATCACATCCTCAAACCACAGGATAGGTCGATTGCCATTGACTCCCAAGACAACACATTTGACTGTTTGTCATATATGGCGGACATTAGAGGCTTGGTCAAGACCCGTTGGAACTCTTTTAACGCCTTTAGCATTGTTATTGCACATTTCACGTTGGCAATAATAAATATGCAACGTCCAGTTAGACTTTAAAAATAAAACTACTTTAACACTGTGCTTGCTCATAAAATAACGCCCTGCCGGTGGCAAATAGCTTTGGTTTAATATTTGATTCGATTACATTAATGTTTAAGTTGAGATTTACAAAAATATTTTATTGCTGCTGTGTAAAAGGAATACTGCTTGGAAAAAGTGTTTGCAAACCACATGTTATTGCACTTCTGTGTATATAGCAGTACATTTAAATTAAAAGTCAGCAACACGCTACTTTAGAATTCATTACTCAATTTTGTGCGTAACAATTCCATTTTTTAATCATTGCTCAGCACTTTACTTTAACTGTGGCCTTTTAACATTAGTGTATTTATTTTGCCTATTTTTATATTGCTTGTTTGTGAGTTGTGACTGGTTTTGTGTTGACTGCTGTCTGTGCAACAAATCGCCCTTCTGGGACAATAAAGATATCCTTGATCAACAGAAATGGAACAGCATTCAAAAAACCGAAATGAGCCAAATAGTAGAAACTACAACACACCAGTAAACGTGCTCCTGCATAAAGGTCTGTTTAGGTGTTAATGAGTGTGTGTTTGTTGTGTGTTACATCATTAGTGTTTCCAGGCGCGGCAGATATTTATAGCTGCACTTGCTAGCAAGAAAGGAAATCAATACTTGGAACCCCAGGCAGGAAGAACATTGGCTCGACCCTTCCACTTCCAGCCCTCGCACACACACTATAAATACTACCTAACCTCACACACCAACACACACACATTCACACACTCCAAAAGCACACGCAAAAGCTCAAATAATAATTCCCACAATGACTTCCTCACCCGAGGCTGAACAGTGGAATAATCTTATTATTTAAGACTTTTATTTTGTTATTTTCGTCTGCAAAGGGAACAAAACAGAGAAGAATTGGTTTAAAATCCAACATCGGAAGGAAAGAAAGATCTGTGTATCGATCTACCTCCGTGACGTGTTATGTACCACTGCTGGACAGGGTAACACGTCACAGTCCAATAATAACAGCAGTACGCGGTACACAGAGACTTCTGAGGGCACGCTCCTTCATCAAATCATCATCACACATGTTTTATTCAGTCTTCATTTCCTGAGTAAAAAGTGATCACATGCATCCCAACAATCTCCTGACAAACTTGCCCGTAGCCATGATGGAGGTAACAGCAGACGGGGGATGATTGGACACGTGCTGCCAGGCAAAGAGTTGTGGTCAGTCAGTAGGAAGTTCTTAAAGAAAATAATTAAATAAAAACGTGTGATATTTGGGGGAAAGAAGGTTGTGGGCGCAGGAGCATTTGTTTCATGTCTCTTTGAGTGACATTTTGCAGGTGAACCAGAACTCGTTCAGTGCAGCTGGATTTCTGAAGTCACGTTTGATCACATGAGATTCTGCGAGATCCCAAGTCCCCGGAACCGCCACTCTCTGAGCATAAACCTAGACTTATGCTTTAGTTTTATACAACTTGTATCTCGATTATAAAACTTCTGTTTTCGTGTGCTGTTAAATAAACAACTTAAAACTATAGAGAACCTCCTCAGTCATCTTTTTCTCATCTGGGAACGCCAACGTGTTGATTTGCACCTGTTTCCTCTCAGCTCTTCTACCCTTGAGCTGCTGCAGAGATGAAAAAAGCGTCTTGTTAGTTTGGACAAGCTTGTAGCAGCAAACTTCAGGCTCCATTGTGGGCCTGGAGAACAATTCAGAGGCAGGAATGTAGACCTTCTCAGAATAGCTTCATCAACTGAGAAAGCCTTCCTGTCGCTGGGAATAAAAACATACCGACGATTCTGCTTACCAGCCTGCAAGGCTGTCGGCTGAGTGAGTGGAGGTTGGGAGCTGAAGACAGACAATGAAAGAGACAGGCCTGAATGCAACAGAAAGTCCCAGAGAGTCCTCAAGATATCTTCCTCCTCTCAGGTTTATGAAATGGCTGCATTTGATAAAGGTATTCTGTAACGTCTAATAAAAAGGACGGATGAAGTGATTTCTGATCTTACACCACGGTGAATACAGTTTTGCTGAGTTGGAAAATACTTGTTGATCTATGTCAAAGTTTATATATAGCTATTACCAGGTCATCGCATCTTCATGAAATATGTGTTACTACAAAGTTCATCTGTGTGTCCTTAGGTGGTGCTAGAGTCCTGGTGACATAGTGACTACTTGCTGAGCTATTCACATGGCAGTTCACCAAAGTTGAACCCAACACAAAAGGTTTTAAGCAGATTTACTTGAGAGAATCCCCTGATTGATCAGTTGTGAAATGAATTGCTTGTTATGTAAAGAAAGAAAGAAAATACGAACCCATCCTTAAATCCTGCCTACAAATGTCTTGGCTCAGTTGTTTTTCAGCCCTCTATGAGCACAACAGGTCAGGAACCAGGAAGAAAAACATGTGTAACATCCAGCAGACATTAAGGGGAAAAGCTCCACAAAGTGAGACTGAGTCACTGATGAGTTACAGCATTAATTTATTCTGAAACAGATTATGTCTTTTTAACACTTTGGACTGAAGCTTTACAGATACATACCTGGAGAGACTCTCCAGTAAATCCTAATTTATACATCTGATGTTTCTCCCACTAAATGTCCCCTCAAGATTATTAAAATAAAACCAAACACACTGTCCAACAGTGACACATATTCCTGGACATTTTCTAAATATCTTGTGCATCATTTTAGACACAGTCTACCCAGACTTTAGTTTGTTGACATATTTATTACTTTGAGATCTCCTGTAGAATTTTAAGGAACAGTTTGATAAAAGGCTGATGCCACTCTCATGTCTTTACAGTAAATATGCAACTAGCTTAGCTTAGCATTAAGACTCACTATTTAACACATTTAACATTTTATATCTCGGTCATTTAACCTGCCAAATGGCTGTGGTGACACAGACACATCTTAAGAGTTTATTGGCCTGGGGTCGGCTACAGTGGGAATTTGAATGTACAGGTGGGCTGGCATGTGTTTAAAGTCACGCTAGAGATTAGCATTAGCGATTAGCACAGGTAATGCACAGTATATCGGTTAGCCCTAGCAGCCATTTTGACTCGGTAAAGTCTGTAAAACCTTTAGGTTCACTCACCACAGTACTTTTTTCAGTTTTATTAACAGCAAGATGATGTTAATTGTGTTCAAGGGTGTAAATATTGTTAAAATGCAGGCAGGAACCAGCCAAGTCGGAGCTGTAATCTCGTAAAAACAGGCTGGAAAGCTAGGTTCATCATATGCCAGCAATCTTCTCATCTAACTCTTGGCAAGAAAGCAAAAAAGTGTATTTCGCTAAACTATTCCTTTAAAATAAAGGTGTGGGTTTGAAAGAAGCTTGACCAAACAGCACACGCGGGCCCAGCAGAGGTTAAACTTTTTAATGCATTAAAGGGTGATTTCTGTATGTTTAAACCTATTTTCACATATTTTGATGTGGATATGACTAATAGGTACAAAAGGTTTTGGAATCTGTGCAGTGGATGTCTTAAAATCTTGTGTCCCTTGTTTCCACCGGCGTCTTCCTGCAACAACTCCCCTCTCACGAGATTTCAAAGCGATAATTGTCCTTGAGCGAGACATTAGTTTTTTATTAAAAACAAATGGTGTCACCAGGAGTCCCTCGTGGGGATCCTTTCCATGATGTTGTCACCGGCAAAAGAAGCACTTTCTGTGGACGCCGTTTTGACGGGTGCAATCGCTGCAAAGGAATATGTAAGCTGCCGGCTGAATCATCTACCGCACGGATTCTACACCTTTTGTACCTACTAGTTATTTCAACCAACATATGTGAAAACAGGTCCCAGGTTTAACAATATTAGCCTTTAATTTACTTTAATAGGAGTGTTTTTTTTATCACGGCAAAGGGAAGCCAGATAAAAACCTCCTGCTGCTGCAAACATGGGGACCAGAGGAGAGTCTGCTGCAGGTTTTTACATCTCTGTCTCTATGGAGGGGCTGGGCCTCCGGTCTGTGACCTCCCCATCTCGCTCTCCCTCCAGCTCTGACGTCTCTGGAGGTGGAGGAGGACCCGAGGCGCTGCTGCTGCTGGTCTCAGGGAGGCTCCATGATGTTGTCTGGGTCATGTGGCTGTCACAGATAAGAGACAAAAAAACCATGCTGGTTGTGATCCTTCAGCAAACAGACGTTTTCTTGACTCCTACTGCCTCATCAGGCATTTCTCTGGAAACTCAGCTCTCTTTTCAAGCCTGACCGCTCTCATGCTTTCAGTTCTACAAAGAAAAGTCTACACAGGTCTTATGAAACAAGATTTTTAAAACAAATGATTCCCTGAATTTAGCACTCACCGCCTGAATCTACCTAATTTGTTGTCTTAAAATAATAATTTGTGCCATCAAAGTACTACATTTTCCCCTGAAATGGATCTCCGCATGCATAGATGCCGCCGTACGCGAGCTGCTCAGCATCAATTCAATTCAATCAACTTTATTAATCCCACTAGGAGCAATTAGTTAAGAGCAGCATGTTTGCAACAGTACATAACACAAATATGCACACAACCTTCACAACATACAAGCAACCAGTATGTGCACATTTAAAACCCCAAAGAACCCTACAGGGAGTTTAAGAACGGATCGCCAAAGGGATAAAAGATTTGGAGTGGCGGTTCGTCTTGCACACCCTGAAGGCAACAGAGAGAATTAACCTGCCAGAACCTGAGAGGCTCAGATACTTGCTGCCTTCCGGACTATTTGTTGGTTACAGAAGGCATTCAGGTCTCTCTGTTTAACTTTTTACATTGTTGTTCAGGCTGCTCTTGTCTTTAACTGTCAGATTGTGAAACCAACAGATAACAGAAAAACTTTAAAACTTAAACAGCAGACAGACTCAGTCAGAGAGCAGCTGCTGAACATAGTGGCACATTTAGCAGTTGGTGGAGACCGTTTGCCCTATTTACACCTGATATTAAAATCTATATCCCGATACTTTATCCAGATAAGGAAAAATGCATGTTAATGTAAAGTGTAAATATGATGTGATCTGCCTGACCAGAATCTGTGTTCAGATTTTAAGTGTAAACACAATATGATGCATCCACACACAACATAACTTTAATAGCCTACAGATATTTGTTTTTAGCTTACATTACCATAAAATATATCAAGTGAGAAGGATGCACGTCTGTTCAAACCCGTTCTTATCTCAGGGCATCAAATACCAACGCTTTGAGAAAACCTGACAAAGCGTCGGTATTTGACGCACAAGGTACACTTTAACGTCCGTATAAGACAAGGAACTTCGATGTAACCCATCCACTGTATATGTATTTAAATGTATATCCATTATTTAATAATAATTAAATAAATGATATACTGTAAGAAATAACTGCAGTGGGGTGTGTTGCACTCATCTGTACAGCTGATCTGCTATTTTCAAGACATGTCATTTATCCAGTCAGTATCTTACACGGGTGTAAAGTTCGGCCTCAGGGCCCTCTAACAGGTCATCTATCCATGATCCTGAGTGGGATGTATGAAGTCTGATCCTTCTTACTTGATGTAGTATTTCACTCCGTCTGCAGTGTACGCCTCCTCCCAGCCATAAGGAAGACCTGCAGGGAGGGGGGATAAAAAGCCATCAACCATTCAGTGAATGTTTGTTCAGTCAGCTTAGATCACGTGCAGCTTTCCCTTTCCTGGTCTGAGACATAATCAGGCCAAGAGATCACCGCTCACAAATATCAAGTTTCCATCCAGCCTGTTGTCCCTGAGAAGCTCCAGTATGATAAGAATCGCTGCACCTGCCCTCCGAGAGTCGTTTTCCACTGTACAGTGTCTCAAACTCTCTCTCCACTCTTTGAGTGTTATGTGCGTTCACACTGACTGGTATGGCAAAATACAGCGCGCTACGAGTACACACGGTACACTCATAACGTTACAAGGTTGAGTGCGGAACGCTGGACACTGGTCACACTGATGGTCCAGGATCTGGGCTGTACCAGGTTATTGTTTTAAATGGATGAGCTTACACACACTTTCAGCAGGATGATGTTCACAAGAGCTGTACATGTGGCAGTTTAGCGTTTCGAGCTGCTAATGGAGCTTTACTATTGAATCAATGTCTCGATGGAGAGCTGCAGAGCTGCCATTAACTATGATTGGACGTGGCTTCGGTTTTCATGCTCTTCTGATAATGCATCGTTCTCTGTTCCTGCGCTTCAGACTCAGTCCTCTGTCACTGTTTATGAACCTCGTCTTGTCTCCTGTACTGTCAACAGGAAGTCAGACGCTCCCGTGTGCTCCGCTCATCACAGTAATCTTGTAATCTTCATGTGTGCACACGGAGACGACAATGTGGTTCTCACAGCGGGAACAAAACCACCTGATCCGAGGCGAAGCTGCTTTGTGTCGCTGTGAATACAAAGTGTGACGCTCTGCGGTGCATTTCACCATGTCGGCCTGAGTACTGACGGATGGGCCCCCGGACACGAGGCAGGTGTCAGGTGGTGAAAACGTGTCAAAGATACACTGAGCCAACAGAGTAATGACCAGGTCCCCCACAGGACTCCTAGTGCCTCATGCAGACTACACGACTTCCAGCGTCGGCCGATGGCCGTGCCGTTCACACTACACAACTTGCCGTCTTGTGACGGGAGTCTTGAAGTCGTTGTGGCGTTCACACTACCTGACTGATCGGTGACAGGAGGTCACACACTACATGAGCTGACAGCGGCTCTGTCACCCGACGCTGGTCTCCAGACCACGTTTTGTGGTAATTTTTATTAGAAAGAATGGATCAGCACACGCAGGTTGGAGGGATCGTCTGAGATACAGAGAGCTGGAGGGGAGTAAAAAGTGTTTTGTAGTGAAAAAGTAGCTGCCTGCTCTCATTGGCTGGATGTGGATGTCGAGTCGACCGACTCCTCCAGATATTTGGCGTGCTCAACGCGTGTCCAACACTTTGGTTTATGACTAAATACCTGCAGAACTGATGACATTCCCATCAGCCTGAGTGTGTTTTTTTCCTTCTAATTTAGCATGCTAACACGCTAAATTAAAATGGTGAACATGATAAACCGTAAACCTGCTAAACATCAGCAGGTTAGCACGTGGTACTGATGTCTGTGTACGTTGTAGGATTACAGATGGCCGTGTGAGAATTAAAAATACTGTGTATTTGACAATATAACTACAGCATTTCCACTAAATTTGGGTTTAATTACATTGACTTTGGCTCATATGAGGTCTCCATGTTTGTTTGGTTTTCAGGCATTTGGATATATTGGAGTTTCATGTGTAATGTCAACAACTGACTAAGGTTAAGCCAGCGTTGTGATTTAATATAGGTTATATGGAAGTAATGTAGGTATAGAAGAGAAAATATGCATCTTCACCACCACTAATTTGAATTCGCACTACGTGACTGAACATATTTATGTCCCCACAGCACGAGGACCTGTGAGTCCACGTGCACAGATACACACCCTGACTCAGCTACATCTCACATACACACACATGCCCGGCTGCACTGACAGAGAAGAGCATGATAAAAACGTGATGACCTCGTTCTGAAGCAGTCACGCGCTCGCTGCCTGCACACAGACACACTGGAGATCTACATAAACACCACAACAGAGAGCAGTGATTAGTTAACTTAACGCCAAAGTCCAAGACGCTTCAGTGTGAAAATGTTCCTGCAGACAGATGTTAGTGGAAATAATAAACATGGTAGTCAACGGCAAGAGACAACTAATGTTTTTACTCTGTTTGAATTGTGCCCTGAACTACACACACATTGTTCATCAATTTAAAATCCGGGTGCAGTGCCAGTTCACAGGGGCCCTCCCTGCGCTTTTTGGATAGAGTGCTTGTTCAAAATGTGCGTCTCACTGTGGTTTCACCTGCAGCGTTTACACAGAAACAACACCACAATGGCGGAGATACTGCTACAGCGCTTCCTTGGAACTCCATTACTCTCTTACAACTCCGTTTCAACACATTCGTTTCAAACGAAAATCAAACCCGCGTGATGAGAGACCGTTCTAATCTCAGGGTGTCCAACACCAACGCTTTCAGAAAAAGTGACCCCCTGGTACCGGGGGCATCTGTTTTTAACAGGCTAGTATCTTCAACCAAGTCCAGTTGCCCTTGATTTGAACCTTCATTGGATCTCCAGACTGCATGAAACATGGCCGATACTAGCTGACATGAAAGAACAATTACAACTTGCCGAGCTGTAACACATTCCTGAAGACCTCTCTACAGTTTTCCCAGGTCCATGGTCCTCAGGTCCGTGCGACTGGTTGTTTCCGGTTTGCAACTTCTACTTCTTGTTTATTACTGCCATGCGAGCTGCCAAAGCTTTCTGTAGCCGATTTATTTCCTCCAAACCAATTGAAATGCACCTAATTCACATTATTATATTGTTTGCTTAAAATTCACTTGACCCTAAACGGAAACACAGCTAAGGATGATCATCATCACAGCCAACAGCTTTGAAGTTCCTCCGTCAAACTCACAGCATTTTGTAAAGGAACAATTTTTTCAATCTGCGTGAACAAAACTCTGAGCTCGCTCTTCACGCTTCATCACATCAGTATACATGAAGTACACAACAAACCCAACATCCTGTACATTTTCATACATACAGGTACTTGAAACAAGTGTCTGTGAAAGAAACACGGAGCTACAGAAAGAAAGAGGTATTTTCTTTTTCCCAGCAGAACATTGCTCCTGGGTGGGAGTTTTGTACGTTTATCGGCGACAAAAAGAGTTAATTTCGGTATCAGTGCAGCAGTGAGGCTCACTGATGGTTTATAATAGTTTCTGGGCAACAGTGGAGCTCTGTGGCTCAGAGGAAGGAGTCATCAGGCTGTGAGACACACCGGAACTGTTAGTGGATCCAGTCACTGAACAAGAGATTAATTAGGACACATGTATCTCAATAAATTACATATGTGTATTTTTAGTCATTATATCCATTCAGCTGCTGGAAATCTGGTGTAGGTGTATTTTTTTGATGCAGGATTATGTTTTAACGATCCAGACAGACACTGAGGATCCAGCTGACTCATTTATACAGATGTCATGGCAACAGAAGCACAAAGATGCTGGCGGTAATGACGCACCCAGCTTTGTCTGTGACAGCCATCAGTGTGAGACCAAGGTTTAAGATTCACTCTGGCTACGACTGGCTCAGCAAGGATCCCGATCCTGAGTGTATTGTAATCATTATTTATTTAAAGCTATATTACCCTGTAGGCCTGCATCCATCTGCTGATGAAGATTGTGTGATATGCGAAAGCTCCAGAACAGCTACTTAATGCACCCTGTTTTGGCAGCTCCTTTCCGTCGTGTTTTTCCCCTTTCCTGTTAAAGCAGAATCAAACTGAGCAAAAGGAAGAAAACATTTCACTGCAAGGAAAAACTGTATTTGCAGTGACACAGTAAGTCGAGGTTTAAACATATATGTTTTATCCACGCTATATAATATCATAACTCTCACTGGTGTTACTATAAAACTATAAAGCTAACATGATACCTGGGCAATGAAAGTTAATGTACTTTCTGCTGTCAATATGAAATGAGTTCATAAGGGTGTTTGAATTTATTTGTTGTCATGCTGAAAACCTGCATAATTGTATTCCTGTCCAGGTTGAACAGCCTTTAAAGAGGTCATATTTCTGCTTTTCCTCTCTTTATTGAGTTATAAACCTTTTTTGTGCATGTAACAGGTTTGCAAAGTGAAAAAGTCCAAAGTCCAGCCCAAGAGAGTTCCCATCTCCCACAAAACCCTGCTCTGAACTGAACACAGCTGGATCGTTGTCCAGCCTTTACTTCCGTAACCTGTCTGCATCACCATGTAACACGGGTCATAATGCTCGCCTGGCGGCTAGAGTGACACGCCCTCAATATCAGTGGTGTAGAAACACGCTGAGCTGCAGCACACAGTGACGGGACTCGACTCGAACCAAAGCCACGTTTACTGGCTGAAGCGGCTTTGTTTTGGACCACATTACCTGTTTGTCAGGACCCCCCTACTCTGCCTCTGATTGGCTAGTAGTCCTTACCTAGATACTGTGCATGTGCAACTCCCAACAAAGATCTAATAAAGAGAGATGCTTCACTCTGTAGCTAAAACAGAGCGTTCCACACACAGGATGAAACGAGGAATTATGGTGTTTTTGAACATTAAACCATGTAAACCTGTTCTGGTCCACCCCTAAATAAATTATGAACCTGAAAATGAGCATAGTATGACCACTTTAGAGACTAATGTTGACTTCCTTCCTGAATCAATGTGAAAAAGAATCAGGAGGTTTTTTGTGGCTTTGCTCATAAAGAAACCACAATGGCAAATCATATAATAAATAAAAATCTTATAGCGCAGGCGTACTCATATTTAATGACCCGTGGATAATTACTGTTTGATTGTTTTCTATCCAGGACCCAGAGGCCGATTTCTTAAATTAATCAAATGTGTTTTGTTGGGTTGAAAACTTCTGGTGTGAAACATGCAGTCGCCCACAGATCGCACTCTGCTCAGTTCTGCATATTAATGATGATGCAGGTTCAGCAGGTTCACACAGTTTCCAGTCACGGCGGCTGAGATGGTGAATGGACATTTGTTATCTACCAGCGTTTTCTGTAGGATGTTAACTAGAGGGACATCAATGAGGAGGTTCT